ACGCCAGCAATGTACTCTCATTTAGGGAAGAAAATTAAGTCATCACTGTGTTTCTCCTTGACTTTGCGTGTGTGCGTGTGTGTGTGTGTGTGAATGTGTGTTTATATATATATATATATTTATATATATCAAACATTCTAATAAATACCCTAATAATGTAAATAAACCTAATAAATAATGTAATAATTAATGTAATATATAATAAATAATGTCAAATAAATATATATTTATATATATATGAAATATCACTACAGGAGCATATATATACACACACACACACACACACAGACACAGACACACAGTATGTAATAACCATAATGTAAATAAACAAAAGTAATAATATGTATTTATATATGTAATATCACATGTTGTAATATGGATATAACTTTGCGTGTGTGCGTGTGTGTGTGTGTGTGAATGTGTGTTTATATATATATATATATTTATATATATCAAACATTCTAATAAATACCCTAATAATGTAAATAAACCTAATAAATAATGTAATAATTAATGTAATATATAATAAATAATGTCAAATAAATATATATTTATATATATATATGAAATATCACTACACGAGCATATATACACACACACACACACACAGACACAGACACACACAGTATGTAATAACCATAATGTAAATAAACAAAAGTAATAATATGTACTTATATATGTAATATCACATGTTGTAATATGGATATACAACATTCAAATAAATAATGTGAATAAATAATAAATAATATGTAGATAATTAATATATGTTTATCTATATACTTTTACTTTACTTTACTTTTAGTCATTTAGCAGACGCTTTTATCCAAAGCGACTTACAAATATAACATTATATATATATATATACACTAACAGATTAATAATAATGACATATATGTATATTATATAACACATTTAAAACCTTTCAAATGTTGCATCCTCTACATTAAATTAATCAACCATTTTTAAAACAGCTATCTAAATATAAATCTGTTAAACACACACACACACACTTATATATATATATATAATTTATATGGAAATAAAATAAATGTAACATTACATTTGATCTGTTATCAAACACATACGGCTAAGGTTATCTGTGTGTCTACTGTAATGTTTGGCTGAAGTGGGAAAGCAATCGTTCCTCGCATGTGCTCCGGTCTCCGGGTTTTGCGGTTCTCCGGTACAGAGCTCAGAGTAACAAAGAACACGTTTGAGATGCACAGCGTCATTCACACAAACACTAAACACCATCACGGTAACACACATGAAACTGAAATAATGCAATAAACATTCATTGAACAACATTAGGTGTAACACACAACCCTAATATACAAAACTTTACCGTTAACCATTTAACAGGTTTTTACTGTAGCATTTTTACAGTCTTTTACCTTTAAATTCACAGTAATTTTTTACAGTGTACGCATAATATGGAGATTTACTTGTAAATATTAATGTGCATTTCTATACCCCTAACTGATTTTAAAATATAATTTTGGCAGCTCCTGAAATGGGTCGTATTGACAGTACCTGAGCGGGTGAAGAATATGTTACAGTGCTCATTCAAAGACATGCATTTATTGCTTGGACGGAGCAAGAACACTTACATTGCATGTGCAGATGCAGTCGAGTGATAAAGTTTACCTTCTTCAAATTAATGCTGTTGAACTGAATTTATGGAGCAAACTATTTGCTAAAATAACCATAACATTAACAGCACCACTGGGTGAAATACAAGCGTGCGGTTCTGTCCATCAGATGCCATTCATAAAGGCAGTCAATTGCTTCGTTTCTAAATGAATCAGCAATTTAAACGAATCGATTGAGTGAGTGATTGAACTCACTTACGAGAGGGATTTACCACCACCTACTGGCGTGTTTATTTTTATAATTAGAGTATCATTTCTTTTTTATATATAATTTCATATTTCACTATTTATTTGTATTTTTGTATGTTGAATTAAAATATTTCTTTCTAAAGCTACTTATATTTCAGCTACTTTTTTGTAATGTCTATTCAGTGTTTTTTTCTAAATTAACACGATAACTTATCTTTAATAATAACTTTATCTTTAATTGGCACATGATGTGCATGTTAATTAATTAATCTCATTAATTTGAGATTCAGTTGATTAATCAGAACATTATGTAATTCGATTTTTTAAATATATATAATCACTTGACAGCCCTATTTAAAACATTAAAAATACCTAAAAGTCTCATAAAATCAGTCCATGTGTCTCATGTGACCAGTGTCATCAATTAGATATATGCAATACAGATAATATTTATATGAACATAGATTTCACAAATAGCACCATACTGTTTCATTTAGGCGCACTCCTCAAACACTATACGTGCATGTGTGTGTGTATGAAAGACAGGACTGAACAAAAAGGGTCATGAGTTGTGTTAAAGGTCACCATCTGCATTGATTTCTGCCTGTCTCCACTTATCTGCACATGCAGCCTTTCTGCTATCTTCACATATGCAAATATACTCAAGCCCGCGGTCCTGGGGGTGTACGGACACGGACACACACGCCGAATGCCTTCCTCTGCCCATCTGAAGACGTGACATGCGTTCAAGCCATTCACACCACTGCTGTTTGGATTTACACGTGAGGTTTCACACATGCGAACTGCATGGGCCGAACAGGTTCATGTCAGTAATAAGCCATTATATGTCTCTGCACTGAACAGCTGTCTTTTACTCATCTTCATATTGTTCCTAACCTGTTTGACTTTCTTTCTGTTCAGCACAAGAGCAGAATGAGATGTTTAGCAGGTCCAAAAAACACCATAAAAGCATCACAAAATATGGCTTCAAGTCTGTTTCCATTCACTTTCATTGCAACGAACGCCTCTGACATTCTGCTTAACATCTCATTTCACGTTTCACAGAAGAAAATAAGTCTCAAAATGACAAAATGTTAGTTTTTGTGTGAACTATCCCTTTAAATGTCTTGGTTTGATCTGAAGTGTGCGTATAGATTAACATACATGATTTGCATGCAGGTACATTTTTAGAAGCACATTTGTGTATTTGCGCTCAGGTGTGGCTGAGCAGATTTAAACGTGGGTTTTTCAAAGGACCGTGATCTGAATCAATTAATAAAATGTCAGTGACTCTCTCACACATGCTGAAGCAGATAGCATGCAAACACACTTTCATATTTCCTCTTTAGCTGTTATTTATAGCCTGCAGCAGGTCCTAACCTTGCAGATTGCCATGTAAAACGTAAATGCATTATGAATATGATCACATGCAGGTGTGCTGAGCTCTAATGAGCGATAAAGTACCACACACACCACAGGAAACAGAATCTGCTGCTTCCTCTGGTGCTGCTGTACTGAGCTCTGATTGGCTGTTAGAGTGGCATCATGTATTAGTGCATGAAGATAGCACACTAAACCGTCTGCACTCTGACCCTTTAGAAACCACAGGCTCAAAACTGTTTCAAGACATTGCTAAATAAAAATCGGTGCATTTACATCAGAGTGCAGATGTTTATGCAGTTTTCAGATTGTCTTTCTAAATGCTTCAATAAAATATTTAAAAGGTGGATTAAACTATACTGATTGCAATACTAGCTTACTACATACTGCATATTTATATAGGGTTCCTGAAGGTAAATTTAAGATTTTTTAAAGACCTTTTTAAGACCAATTGACTATATGCATGGATACTTCTTGGTTTTATATAAGCCAGCTCAGTCATTTCCGGTCAACTGTCAAAATGTGCTTGGAATCAGCGTAATAACATAATTTATGCAATTGTGCAGCTTAAGTATTTTTTAGGAAGAGACAACAAAATATTGAATAGTTTTTTTGTTGTTTTTTTTGCAGTGAAGTGTTGATGCATGTGTTGAGCAGGACTGTGCGCTGCTGTGTGAAGACGTCATTAGTTACTTTACATGCACACAATCAGAGTTACAGTAACACAGGGTGTTGTGATAAGGCAGTAATGGTCAGTGCTCTTGTAATAAAAGCATTTTATAAGCCTCCTCTGCTCTGGCATACACTGCCTTTCATATTCCTGACCTCTCCTTCAACTCAGAGCGTCCATTACTGACTCATGCTTTACACACACACACACACACACACACGTGTGCATTATCCTATCCACACATCCCCCACATACAGTGCCACTATATGCACATGCTCTCAACACACACTTTATTTATTCATCATGTCTTCTACAAAATAGATTTGAACAAAGATCAAACCCAAAGGCTTTCAAAAATCAGCACAACCAAAGCAATATTCACTGCAGTAAAATCTATGATAACCAGTCTCATGTACAGTTTAAAATACATTTAGAGTAAATCAATACACGATAATAGGGGATAAAAGCACATTAATGAGACTCTGCATCCTGTAAGTCAGCCGTTAACTTCACTAAAGCTTCCTTAATCTCAACAGATGCCATAAACAAACTACAGATGAATAAATCATTTCACATTCACTGTTACAGAGACTGAAATTGAATCTCGTAGTCTCTCTGCTGGATCCCATTAGCTGTCTGCTTCATCTGTCTGCATCATTCAGCCATTAACACGGCTGTAATACAGAGACAGAGTCTTTCCAGGACATTTTAAAAGGTTTTTAAAAGCCTCTGCACGTGAATTGTTTAACAGATTCATGGAGTC